CAACAGTTCTGTGAGGGAAGTTTAGCCATGAAAAGTAATGGCAAAAACCGCAATTACTTTTGCACCAAACTAGTACTGTGATTATCCCCATTTTACAGCTAAGGAAAATGAGGTTAAGTAAATGAAGCTGGCCGGGCACAGAGGTTCGTGCCTTTAGTCCGAGAACTTTGGGAGGCAGAGGCAGAAGGACTGCTTGAGCTCAGGAGTCCAAGATGAGCCTGGGTAACATAGCAAGACCTGGTCTGCACAAAAACAAATGTGTTTATTTGCTTTTATTGATCTATTTATTTAGAGATGGAGTCTCGCTCTGTCACCCAGGCTGAAGAGCAGTGGCACGATCTTGGCTCACTGAAACCTCTGCCTCCCGGGTTCAAGCGATTTCCTGATTATTTTTGTATTTTTAGTAGAGGATGGGGTTTCACCATGTTGGCCAGGCTGGTCTCCATGGAATTCCTGACCTCAAGTGATCCACCCACCTCGGCCTCTCAAAGTGCTGGGATTACAGGCATGAACCACCAGACCGGGCCAAAAAAATTTAAAAATTAGCCAGGCGTGCTGGTGCCTGCCTGTGGTCCCAGCTACTTGGCAGACTGAGGCGGAAGGATTACTTAATCCCAGAGGTCAAGGCTGCGGTGAGCCGTGACTGTGCCACCACACTCCAGCCTGGGCGACAGAGCGAGACCCTGTCTCAAAACAGCAACAACAGAAAAAGGTGAGGTCACGAAGGGTATCAGGGCACGAGCTGAGAACGAAACCAAACGCCCGAACTTTGTCATCTGCTCATTCCAGCCTGAAAGGAAGGTGAACGAAGACGCAACCCACGCCCACTTGAGTGGGCTCTGTGTGTCCGAGCAGAGGTCTCTGCCCTCTACAAAGGCCACAGAGAAGAGAGTGAGGCTTCACCCAAAGGAGGTCTCGCTGACGGTACAATTTCAGGCACTGTGTTTACGTCTGGCCTAATTAGGATAAGCCCAGTGTCCCTGACTGAAATTAAGAGCCCCCCCCAACCCCACCAGCACCCCTGGCTCCCAGGCTCTCTCCACCCAAGCTCTGCCCACCGGAGTTCACTGCCTCCCTCTCCCGGCTCCCTCATCCTCTCGCCACGATTCTCAGGGCTGTGGCTCCTCCTTTTACAAATGAGTACGTCGGTGGCAGGGAAGGAAGTGGGCTGGGCCATGACCGAGGGTCATCATGATTCATGGGGAAAACCCTCCCCGTTAGACTCTGCGCAAAAGGCTTTGTGGGGCTTCCTAGGATCGCAGGGTCAATGGATGGATGTAGATTGCTAGGGGTCTAGACAGCCCCTCACCATCCGTCTGCCAGCTCCCCCACCCCCTGGGTCGGTCTGCAGTCCTGGAAGGGGATCTGTGCCTGGGGGAGGTGTGGACAGGTGTGGGTTGTGGTGGTGTTTATTCGGTAAACACACTGGGATTCCAGGTAAGCTTCCATCAGAAGAAAGCCCTTCACTGCTTGGGCAGAAATTTCAAATTATTGAACCGCTTTTAGATCCTGGCAGAAGGGAGTTTTCCTGGAGTGATAAAAGTGTTCTAAAATTAGACTTGAGTGAGGGCTGCACAAAAGGAATTATGATACTATTAAAGAAATCACGGCTTTGCCGAAAAAACTGAAAACTGGAACATGGAGCATTTGAAGGTATTAAGGAACTGTTCATTTTTATTTTCACTGTTTAGGTGAAACAGTGGCATTGTGAATATGTTTTTTAAATGAGTCTTTATCTTTTAAAGATACAGGCGGAAATGGCTCTGACTGAAATGGTCTGATGGCTGGGATTTGCTTTCAAATAACACAGGGGCCGTGGGTGAGGAGAGGAAACCAGATTGGCCATCAGCTGAGTGATAGGTATGTGGTTTCAAGGGAGACACCATTGTGTGTGTGTGTGTGTGTGTGTGTGTGTGTGTGTGTGTGAAATGGAGTCTTCCTCTATCGCCAGGCTGGAGTGTAATGGCATGATCGCAGCTCACTGCAACCTCCGCCTCCCGGATTGAAGCCATTCTCCTGCCTCAGCCTCCTGAGTAGCTGGGTACAGGCGTGCACCACCACATCCAGCTAATTTTTGTATTTTTAGTAGTGATGGAGTTTCACCATGTTGGTCAGGCTGATCTCGATCTCCTGACCTCGTGATCCACCCGCCTCAGCCTCCCGAAGTGCAGGGATTACAGGTTTGAGCCACCGTGCCCAGCCTGAGTACCACCATTCTTCTCTCTGCTTTTGATGGATATGTGACATTTCCCAAAACACAAAGTGGTTTTTAAATTTTTTTAACCATTAGCCTGGTGTGGTGGCTCACGCCTGTAATCCCAGCACTTTGGGAGGCCAAGGCAGGCAGATCACTTGAGGTCAGGAGTTCAAGACCAGTCTGGGCAACATGGTGATTCTCCTGCCTTAGGCTCCTGAAGTTGCTGGGATTACAGGCATCTGCCACCACACTCAGCTAATTTTTTTTTCCTGTATTTTTAGTTGAGACAGGGTTTCACCATCTTGGCCAGGCTGGTCTTGAACTCCTGACCTCATGATCCACCCACCTCAGCCTCCCAAAGTGCTGAGATTACAGGTGTAAGCCACCATGCCTGGCTGCCTGGGTGCTCTTTCTAGGGTCAGGAATGAAGGGGACGTTTGGTCGTTTCTCCCCAAGAACAACCTCCCCAGGACCAGCCTGAGTCAGCTCCAGGCCTTGCCAGGCTGGCACAGGAAGCCACACCCTGAGGTCAGATCCCTGAGCAAATATTACAGACCCCTCTGCCCCACCCAAGATAAGGAGAGGCTGAAAGGGGTCCAGAAGTCTGCTTCTGCCCAAGAGATTAGCTCCAGCCACGCCTCAGTATGGAGGCCTCTCCATCCCTGCCCAGGGAGGGTGGGAAAGGATTCTACCACAGAGACCCAAGTCCACCGTTTCATCTAATACATATTAATGACTCAATAGTGGGCGGGGTCTTGATGAGGAGATAAAGGAGTCCCAGCCTCCTCCCACTCCCCAGGGAACTAAAGTGACTGGTGAGATAAGAGGGCTGGGCAGGCAAGGGGTGACCCTGACCAAACAAGGTCATAGACTGTGTCCCCAGATGGCTGTGCTAAGAGTAAGACTCACCTGCTCCAACCTCATGAGGCAGTGGCCCAAGGCTTCGGTTTACTTGACTGCAAAACGAGTTTTCTTGCTGGTGGATGGCGGGGAGCTGGATGAGATAACAGGAAAAGCTGACGCTGTCAAAAAGAATCACGGGCCAGACGAGGTGGCTCATGCTTGTAATCCCAGCACTTTGGAGGCCGAGGCAGGAGGATCACAAAGTCGGGAGTTCAAGACCAGCCTGACTAACATTGCAAAACCCCATCTCTACTGAAAATACAAAAATGAGCCAGGTGTGCTGGTAATCCCAGCTACTCAGGAGACCGAGGCAGGAGAATTGCTTGAACCTGGGAGTCGGAGATTGCAGTGAGCTGAGATCGCACCATGGCACTCCAGCCTGGGAAACCGAGCGAGACTCTGTCTCAAAAAAAAAGAAAGGTGAAATACAACATATGCAACATGTCATTCCAGTACGGAATCAATATAAAAAATCACAATCTGTTTTACATTACTGTATGTGTGTCCTTTGTTTTTTTTTTTTTTTTTTTTTTTTTTTAGACAAAGTCTTGCCCTGCCACCGAGGCTGGAGGGCAGTGGTGTGAGCACAGCTCACTGCTGCCTCAACCTCATGGGCTCAAGCGGTCCTCCTACCTCAGCCTGCCAAATAGCGGGGGCCACAGGCATGCAACGCCACTCCTGGCTAATTTTTAAATTTTTTGTAGAGACGACTTGCTGTGTTGCCTAGGCTGGTCTCGAACTCCTGGACTCAAGCCACCCTCCCACCTCAGCCTCCCAAAGTGCTGGTATTACAGGTGCGAGCCACTGGGCCTAGCTCCCCTTATTGAACCTCTGCTCCAATGTCGCTCTGATGGTGTCGCCTTGCTGCCCTGCATAAACCAGGGCCCGGCCCCCTCCGTCCCTCCCCTGCTTTATTTTTCTCCACAGCCTTATCACCACCTGTTCTAATACTGCACATGTTTGTATTTGTCTATTCACTGTCTCCCCAATCAATAGGTCAGCTCTATGTCTATCTTATTCGTGGTAACCCCACCGCACCTAGCACAGTCCCTGGCACATAGTAGGTGGTCCATAAACGTTTGTCAAATGGCGGAGGAACAGCAGCCACTGTGCACCCAGTGCGTGCTCTGACGCAGGCCCAGCACTGAGCGCTTCGTGTGCCTATTTTGTTTTTCTGTTTTTTGGGTTTTGTTTTGAGACTGAGTTTTACTCTGTCGCCCAGGCTGGAGTGCAATGCCATGATCTCAGCTCACTACAACCTCTGGTTCCTGGGTTCAAGCGATTCTCCTGCCTCAGCCTCCTGAGTAGCTGGGCTTACAGGTGCCCACCACTGCGTCCAGCTAATTTTTGTATTTTCAGTACAGACAGGGTTTCACCATTTGGCCAGGCTGGTCTTGAACTCCTGACCTCATGATCCACCCGCCTCGGCCTCCCAAAGTACTGGGATTACAGGCTTCAGCCACCGCGCCCATCCCCATGTACCTATTTTGATCCTCAGAAGAGTTCCAGGGAAGCCAGTGACATGACCGCCCACACCCACTGCACGAACAGGCAAAAGCCCCTGTCCACGAGGGCCCCGTCTGCTAAAGAGCCCGCAGCTCTTGACTGAACCAAGGATCTGGGCTCATAGCCGGGAGCACCAGAGGAGGGGCCAGGGAGGTGGAGGATGGGAGCAGGCTGGGAAGAGTGGGGGTGACGCTTCGGGGCCTCTAGAACCCAGCCTGGCCACACTCTGCAGGCAGATAGCGGATCACCAGGAACCTGAGCCTCTCTGAAGACTCCTCTCTCTGTGTCATCCACACCTGGTGTCCAGTTCCACAAACATGCTCTGAGCCCCTGCTCCGTGCCAGGCGCTGTGCTGGGCAGTGCTGGGGACATAGTGGTGACAGCCCAGCCCTGCCCAGCTGAGGCTCCCAGGCCAGTCGGGGAAAAAGACCCAGCCCCAAACAGCAAGAACCCAGGGCGGTCAGGGCTAGGACAGGGGATCCAGGGGGTACGTGACCCAGCCTTGGAGTCCAGGAGGGCTTCCTAAAGGAGGGGGTTTGGGGAAGGCAGTGGAATAGAGCAGAGGAAAGCAGGGATATTCTGGGTAGACTGCAAGTGAGACAGAAGAACTGAGGCAGAGGGTTCTCGAAAGCCAGGGGTGTTCTATATAGCTGGTCAGGTGGGCAGGGTTCAGGCTGGGCAGGGCCTCCTGGGCCACAGCGAGGAACCTGGACTTCCTCCCGAGGGCACTGGGGAGCCACAGCAGGTTCTGTGCAGGGAGGGGCAGGGGCAGGTTTCTGTTTTAGAAAGAATCTCTGTCTGCCATGTGGAGGGGCAGTGGGAAGGGGTGAAACCAGAGCCAGAGACTAGAGAGGAGGTTGGTGGGGAGACGGGAGACCCAGGCAAGGCGGGCTGGTGGGTAGTCACCTGGATCAGGTCGGGGGCTGCAGGCAGGCAGAGAAGATAGACTTAGAGTCAGTTGCCAGAGGGAGTGGCGTCCTCGGGAAGTCGGAAGCATCAGGAATGAAGCCCCGGGCCTCTCTTCCCAGTGGTGAGGTGGGCAGTCGCGCCTTCCCTGATAAGGGGACCAGGGGAAGAAAGACTTCTGGGGGAAGACGCCAAGGTCAGTTTGGGACAAGGTGAGTGAGAGGTGCCCAGGGACATGGGGGAGGCATCCTGACTGATACTGGGACGAGGTCCCAGGGCTCTGGGCCAGGAAGGAGAAGGGTGAGGTGAGGTCGCAGGTGGGGAGGGGGAGCAGGAGGCGCCAGGACATCCTTCGAGCCTCTCACCTGGCCTCACCCTCGCCTCCTCCGGGCCTTCCCTCCACCCCCGCTTGTTAGAGCCCTGCCCAGCGAGGTCAGCCCAGGACACGGTGCTGGAGGAGCAAATCAGGACAGGTGAGCACAGGTGTGGCCCCCTGCCCGGAAGCAGGCTGCTGAGGCCTCAGAGGAACCAGGACCCAGAAGCCATCAGGATGTGGGTGGTAAGAACACAGCTACCCGCAACTCTGGCGCCGCAGCCCCCACGGTTCCCCCTCAGCAGCGTCTCAGAGACACCTTCCTTGGTACCCTCCCTGCACCCCAATTTAAAGTGGCAAACCGGGCCAGGGACAGTGGCTCACGCCTGCAATCCCAGCACTTTGGGGGGCCAAGGTGGGAAGATCACTTTGAGGCCAAGAGTTTGAGACCAGCCAGGGCAACATAGCGAGACTCTCTCTCTACAAAAAATAAAATGGCCTATCCCCTTTCTGACTTTATTTTTCAGTCTGACGTGTCAGATATTGACCTTTCCTTGGTTTATTCTGCAAACGTCAGCCTCCCGAGGGCAGGGATTTCATCTATCTTGTGCACTAATGCATCCTCAGCGCCTAGAACAGTGCCTGGCAAACAATAGCATTCAATATTTGTCCAATAAATGGATGAGTGATTGACCGAGCGTTTGCTCTGTGCCGGTCATCTCCGTAAGCGCTGTACTTCACACGTGTGTCTACTTAATCCTTGCAACAGCCCTGTAATATGAGTACCATGTTTTTCCCATTTTACAAATAAGGAAACTCAGGCCTGGCCGATTCCACAAATTGCCCAGGGTCCTGGAGGTAGAAAACAGTGGAACTATGTCCAGAGCCTATGCTTACTCCTCTGAGACAGAGTCTCATTCTTCTTGCCCAAGCTGGAGTGCAGTGGTACGAACTTGGCTCACTGCAACCTCCGTCTCCTGGGTTCAAGCAATTCTCCTGCCTCAGCCTCCCGAGTAGCTGAGATTACAGGTGCTACAGCTGCTTGCCACCATACATAGCTAATTTTTTGTATTTTTAGTAGAAGTGGGGTTTCACCATGTTAGCCAGGCTGCTCTCGAACTCCTGACCTCAAATGATCCAACCCGCCTCGGCCTCCCAAAGCGCTGAGATTGCAGGCGGAAGCCACCGCGCCCAGCCCAGAACCTATACTTTTTATAGCAGCCACACCAATCAGACCTCATGTTCAGGGTCACGTCCGCCAGGCCCTGGCTTCAATTCCTGACTGTGGCATCTCCCTAACTGCTGTCAGCAGCCCTGAAGTAGGGTCCATATCATCTCTATTTTTTGTTTGTTTGTTTTTAAGACAAGAGTCTCCCTCTGTCGCCCAGGCTGGGGTGCAGTGGCGTGGTCTCTGGTCACTACAACCTCCATCTCCTGAATTCAAGAGATTCTCCTGCCTCAGCCTCCCTAGGAGCTGGGATTACAGGCGTGGGCCACCATGACCGGCACATTTTTGTATTTTTAATAGAGACGGGCTTTCTCCATGTTGGTCAGGCTGGTTGCAAACTCATCACCTCAGGTTATCTGCCTCTCTTGGCCTCACTAAAGGCACCCGCCACCATGCCTAACTTTTTAAATTTTATTTGTAGTGGAGACGGTTTTGACATGTTAGCCAGGCTGGTCTTGAACTCCTGACCCCGAATGATCTGCCCGCCTCGGCCTCCCAAAGTGCTGGGGTGACAGGTGTGAGCACCACACCCGGCCACCATCTCTATTTTTCAGAATCATAAATGGGGACTCAACAAGGGGGTCTCCCCAGCCCCGCTTTGGGTAAGTGTAGAACCACTGTCAAAACTCAGCTCTCTTTGGCCCCAAAGCCTCCGAATACACCCATTTGACAGATGGGGAAAACAAGGCCCCCAGCAAGGGAGAAAGAAAATGTGAATTTCCGACCACTTTGCAGGAAGCCGACAAGAAGCAGAGCCCTGAAGAAAGCACGTGGCTATACAGCTTCCTGCCCTTCTATCTGGGTTTGCACACAGAGCAGGGCTCAAATCCCCTCTCTCTGCAGGAAACTGGACAAGCAGGAGCCCCCACCGGGGACGTCGGTTTCTCCATCTGCAAAGGAGAGTCCTAAAGATGCCCACGTTCCAGGGTTGTTTGTTTTGCCATCCATGGGGATAACACCTGTAGGTCCCCTGCAGGGCTGGGGCCGGAAAAGGCGCAGTCACTTTTTACTGCTTTTATTCTTTGGAGACTCCCAAACTCTCCCAAGAGGCCATGGGCCTGGGTGGTCGGTAAGAACTACCCAAAACTCCTCCTCCGCTTCTCCTCCCTTCTCCTCGGCGACCTGGTTCTTCTCCCAGTACCAAATCCCGGCCTTCAGCACAAAGAGGGTTAGGCGGCTGCCCCAGGAGGCCTGGCCAGGTCACGGCCTCTGCCTGGTGCCTGCCACACCCACCCTGGTACCCAAACTGGGCCCCAGATCCTTGGTGACTCGATCCCTCCAAATTCAGGTGATCTCCCCTGGCTCCAAATCACCAAACCCTCCCAGGTCCAGCGGCAGACGGAGTCGAGCCCCAACCAGGAAGGGAGTCTGAGCCCTGGGACTTCAACGCCACCATCTCCAGGACTTGTTTTGGGGTGACAGATGGCGCCGAGTGGGTACAGCTGGCTACTCCTCAGTGGTGAGCGAGAATGGCACCCCCAGCACCTCAACCCCCCAAGGACCCCAGGGAGGGGAGGGGATCCCCAGTCCGAGAGAGGGAAGGTGTGAGCCCCAGCATGCTAGGGAGGGAGGGCAGCCCTGCTTCACACTGGCACATTCACCCCTCCAAGAGGCACCTGCATGGGGCAGGCTGGGGACAGCCACCCAAAGAGGTTTTTAGGGTGAGCTTTGGAGATTTCTAAGCCCAGGGCATGAGTCAGGACAAGGGAGCCGCTGTTGCCCCTCCATTCCTGCGGGTTTCTGTGTTTTATCAGCTATGGAAGTCTTGACGAGGCTGAACTCTTCCCAGCAGCTATTTCTCCCCCAAGATGTAGCTTGGGGCAGTTGTTTTTCCCTTAGCCTCCATGTACCTATCTACGAAATGGGCCTCACTGACAGGGTCGTGTGAAGGTCACTATCCGCAGCACTGGTTCCCATATTGGCTGTGTGCCTAGAGCTGTTCTGAGAGCTTCTCATATGTTTAAAACCACCTATGAGGGGCCGGGCATGGTGGCTCATGCCAGTAGTCCCAGCACTTCAGGAGGCTGAGGCAGGCGGATCACCTGAGCTCAGAAGTTCAAGACCAGCCTAGCCAACATGGTGGAACCCCATCTCTGCTAAAATACAAAAATTAGCCGGGTGTGGTGGCAGAAGCCTTGTAGTCCCAGCTACTTGGGAGGCTGAGGCAGGAGAATTTATCAAACCCAGGAGGTGGGGGTTGCAGTGAGCCAAGATTGCATCACTGCAATCTAGCCTGGGCAACAGAGAAAGAATCCATCTCGAAAAAAAACAAAAACAAGAACAAAAAGCCACCTCTGAGGGAGGACCACACATGAACCCCACTTCCCAGGGAGAAAATGAGGCTCAGAAAGGTGAAATCACTGGCCGCTGTCACACAGCCAGAAAGTGGCAGGACTGAGGGCTAGACCCAGAGTCCCTCGCTCCTAGCCATGCTCTAACAGCCTGGAAAGTACCGGAAAGCTGGCCAGGCATGTGAGCACTGCCCACAGCCACCGGTTCCAGGGAACTGCACGCCATTCACACCCAAGCAGCCTGATCAGCTCATCGGGCTTGGGGCTGATCTGCTTGGTTGAGAAGGAAAGGCGTGGGGTGTTTTCATCTTACCCTTGCTTCTGCCACAGGCGAGCTTGGAGAGGCCGAGGAAGAGCCCCAGACTGGGAGTCAGGATTCAGGGACAGGCCCTGACGTCCTACATGGGGCCATGCAATCATCTGGGCTGGATATGCAGCCAGATCTCGTGAGACTTGGTTTGGTGACTGTCACGATGGGAAAACCCCTTGGGTCCGGCTTCAAGTCCTATGGACTGAGCACTGGCTTGGCACGTGCTGTACACAAGATGAGATGCTAGATCCTTGCACAGTTCATCAAACCCAGTCCTCACCACACACCCCTCCCGGGGACTGAGCCCTAACTAACATGTATTGGGCACTTACTGTATGCCAGGCAGGCATTCTAAACGTGTTATGTGTAGAGTCTTTACAACCTTACGAGGCAGGTAGACCCATCATCCCCACGTATGAGTTGAAAGAACAGAGACACAGAGAAAGGCAGTGTACTCAAAGCCATGCAGATAAACTCCCAGACAGATTAGGTGGCTAAGATGTGGAGCGTCAGAGAGTGACGCGTTCAAATCCTGGCTGTGCCTGTCCTCATTTACACAGAGGACATTGAGCTGGGGACGTGCCCTGAGCCTGAGTCTCTTCTGATCAAACCTGTGTCATCCAACCCCTCTGACTTCTCTTCCTCAGCCACATTCCTGAATGTGGGGGCTGAGATCTCTATCACCCTGGAGCCTGCCCAGCCGACCGAAGGGGACAACGTCACGCTGCTCGTCCACGGGCTTTCAGGGGAACTGCTCGCCTACAACTGGTACGCGGGGCCCACGCTCAGCGTGTCGTACCTGCTGGCCAGCTACATCGTGAGCACAGGCGACGAGACACCTGGCCCCGTCTACACGGGGCGGGAGGCTGTGCGCCCCGACGGCAGCCTGGACATCCAGGGCATCCTGCCTGGGCACTCAGGCACCTACATCCTGCAGACCTTCAACAGGCAGTTTCAGACCGAGGTGGGCTACGGACACGTGCAGGTCTATGGTGAGACACCCCCGAAAGCACCCCTCTGCCCAGCCAGGCCTTCCCACCTCCTTCTCGATCCTTCTTTAAAAAAAAAAAAAAAAAAAATCCAAAAACTGTTTAAACCATCAGGGAAAGGGGTTATAAAATAACATCAAAATGCTCACCTCCTTCAGGAAGGCCTCCAGGATTAGACCTGCCTCCTAAACCATTCTTTGTCCCTCCAACTGAGGGTATAGGGGCACGGCCACAACCCGGCTATGCCCCTTGTCTAGGGAAGGGAAGACCCTTGGAGCAGGCGGTGCCCGGCCCCCCTCCCCCTCTGTCTCTCGCTCCCACAGAGATCCTGGCCCAGCCCACAGTCTTGGCCAACAGCACAGCACTGGTGGAGCGTCGAGACACCCTGCGTTTGACATGCAGCAGCCCTAGCCCCACCGCCGAGGTCCGCTGGTTCTTCAACGGTGGAGCCCTGCCCGTCGCTCTCCGCCTGGGACTGTCCCCCGATGGGAGGACGATAAGCAGGCATGGCATCCGCCGGGAGGAGGCAGGCGCCTATCAGTGTGAGGTGTGGAACCCGGTCAGTGTCAGCCGC